ATAATGTGTGTTGAATGTTGATTTTAGTTTTTATATAATTTTAACACAAAATAACTTAATAATTATTTATATACAAATACAATTACTAAATAATAGTATAATATATATAATATATATACAATACTATAAAAATTAAAAAATATAATAAAAAATATTTATTTTCTGCCCATTTGGGCGGGCTCGGGATGTCTGACCGGACTTGGGCAGCCAAAACTAGGCTCGCGGCCCGTCCATGGGCCTTCTCAGGCTCGGGCGGGCGGCCCAAAAATTTTGAGAAGGCGGGTTCAGGCGTCAGGTTCAAAATCAATTTTTTCAGACAGTTATGGGCAACCTGTTCAAAGTTTCAACACTAATACCAAACTCAAAACCCTAACCACACGACTTGAGAGAAAAAAAAAAAGAGACTTTTATGCTTTTATTATTACTCTTTTACTCGGCGCCGTTTTCTATAACATTATCTATGGACTATAATTAATTTTACACTAGTGCTTGGCTTTTCAGAAAAAAAAGGAAAAAATGTTTAACATCAACACTGCTAACTATGTTGGATATGAAATTGATGAAATTCTTATTCGTTGTGAATTTCAAAGATTATATATTATCCATACATTTAACATATAATTTGTACGTATTTCGTTAAATCTAGTAGAAATATTTTTCCGTCAAACAATATAGTACTATAAATATTCACCCTTATCTCACAAAAAAAAAAGGATAATAAATAATGATAAAGAGGATAATGAATAATGATTCCCTTTCTTATTATTTTTAGATGCATATCAACATTTGATTAATATATTTTTTTGAAAGGACATTTGATTAATATTTGGCTTTTGCTGCATATCAACATTTTATTAATTATTTTAGTTTTGCAAATGAGCATTTTATACGCATGTAAGATCAGCTTATCATAAATTAAGACGTGTACGTAACGAGATTATGAACTCGTTAGAATTTCAATCATTACTACGGAAGGGGCCAAACGCAATAAAACTTGGTCCTTTCCTTATCTTTTATTCAAAAGTTAAAAAAAAAAAAAGTCATCTCACTAATTATAGCTTCAAATATTACGTGCATGTAAGTCACGTTATTAGCTTTTACCATCTAAAAATAATAGATATTCTGTGTGATGGCGTATCTACAATCATTTTTGGTACGCAAAAAGAAAAATTTTTTTTTTTTTTTTTTTTTTTTTTTTTTTTTTTTTTTTTTTTTGCAGATCACAAAATTGGTTATATATTTTGACTACTTCACGTATGAGGGTGACGTATTTTATTTTAGTTTTATATATTTTTTAAATGGATTTTAGTTTTATATTCGTTCATTTGAATGAAATAGAATTTCTTTTTGTGCATTTTCTTTTAATTTACTAATTTCCTACGGCAATAGTAGTTCTTGACTTCTTGTTAACCAACACGTCAATTATTAGAAGCATCTCTCACTCTCTTAACTATAAAAAAGGGGGGCCAATTCCTTTTTTACTTTTTAAAGTCTTCTGATTATCCAGAAGAATAGTACTATTTAACGAATTGCATGCATGTAAATCTCTACTGCTGTTTGAAGAAAATTCTATCGTTTTCTTATGAATCAAAAAAAGAAAAAACTCATTTTGCATTAAAGAACAAATTATGAGTCATACAATAAAAAGGTATTTGCTCAAAAAATAATTTTAAAAGAAGAAATAAGGTCGTGTTTAGAATTGATCGCGTATTTATTTTTCACATTTTTCGAGAAAAAAATGAAAACGTTTCTAAAACGACGTTTGACGTAATAAAAATAAAAAACGGAAATGAAAACGATTTTTTAGTTTAGTGTAAAATGAGAGAGAAATGAAAAACGAGTTTTATTCGTTTTTGATTTTTTATTTTCGTTTTCTACTCTCTCAAGCATAAAGATATATATATATTAATGAGTTTTTTTATACTGAAAAGTACAATCTTTTGATAAAACTATCAAACGTATTTTTAAAAATAATTTTTGTATGAGATTAAAAGCGTTTTCATTTTTATTTTTTATTTTGGAACGAATTCCAAATGCTCTCAAAATTTTGCACTGTTATTAGATGTGTTCGTCACTTCGCTTTTGCACTTTATACTTTCGTTACATACTAAAAAGCCAAACTTATCCCTTTTAAATTTTTTAGCAACCAAAAAGAAAAATTTCGATGAATTATTTTAACTATTTAGATCTCTGATTAATTATGTTTATTTTTGCATGATACGATATATAGATTATATTAAGCATTGATCATTGAAAGCTTTTGGGTTCTTAGGTTTAAAAGTTGAGATTATTTGTATAACGTTTTTGGAATAATTTTAAGGACCGGTTTATTTGCACCCAAACTTAAAAAATAATTTAAACTCAACTTACAACTTTATTTAAGTTTACGTTCTTTTATAAAATTTGAGTTTGAACTTTAGTTTTAATTTGAGTTTTGGGCTAAAATCTGAGTTTAAGACCTCGTTCATTTCACCGATTCTAGTTTAGAATTCGAGTTTTGCTACAGTAAAAAAACTCTCAGAATCAGTCACATTGGCCTCGTTCACTTCGCGGATTCGAGTTTTCAATTCGAGGTGATATGTGATATTTTCTGAGAGCTTTTCACTGTAGCAAAAAAAGTTAGATGTGACATTTTCTGAGAGCTTTTTACTATAGAAACCTAAAACTGAAAACTCGAATCGGTGAAATGAACGACACCTTAACTTTTTTGTTACAGTAAAAAACTCTCACATAAAATCACATCTCAACTCGAATTAAAAACTCAAATCAGCGAACTGAACGGGTCCTAAGTTCTCACTTCAACTCAAGTTCTTAAACTTAAACTCAAGTTAATGAACAATATTTTCTTTTCTTAAAAACGCCATAACTTTTTCGTTTTAATTCCGATTGAAATGATTTTTTTTCTATGCGTTTAGAACAAAATAAAACTTCACCCATATACCCTATTAAAATTTTTCATCACCATTGAGTTTTTATTAAAATACTATCTAAATACAAATTTAAATTTTGACTCACCTAAACACAAACTCAAATAGATTCTCAATTCAAACCATAACTCAAAATGTGCACATCTAAACACAAACTCAAATTAGAGTCTCAACTCAAACCATACTTAAATACATCTTAATTCAAATCAAGATACAAACTCAAGTCATCATAACTCAAAAAATGTAAATGAACAAGTCCTAAGGGCCCGTTTAGTTCGCTGATTCGAGTTTTTAATTCGAGTTGAGATGTGACTTTATGTGAGAGCTTTCTACTGTAACAAAAAAGTTAGATATGACTGTTTCTGAGAGCTTTTTACTGTAATAAAATTTAAATTTTAAACTCGAATCAATGAAATGAAGGAAGCTCTTCTAGTTTCTAGCTAAAATATATTCCTGTCAAGAAAGAGATAACTACGGCTAAAAAAAACTGTGGCATTTGTGACAATATTTTAATAAGATTTTATAAACAGTACGGATAAATTTTATTACTAATTAAAAAACTCTAAAAAAAATCATTTTTATCTAAATAAATACTTTTAAAAGATTATGATTTTTCAAACATTAACCGAAAAGATCATTATTCATAAGTATTATTATTTCTCTTATTTATATATAAAATCCAAAAAAGTAAAAGAAAACACCAAATAGGATTTTTCAACGCAACTGACCCTCCCTCGATTGGAAACCAGCACATCCTTGACCGAACTACAGTCTCCCTCACAAACAGAGATCAGCATCAACTCACAAGTTCACAACATAATCAAATAACAAAGAGAGAAAAAATAAAAATAAAAAAAAGGAAAAAAAGGGATCAAAGGATCGTCAGTGCTAGGGATGAGATTCTTCCTCGCTATATGGGGCCCGCCCCCATGGCCCATTGCTAATGAGGTTTTGGATGAGAAAGGGTTAAGGGTTGTTCTTTTATATAGGCCCCTAATGTTTGGTAGATGAATTCGTTATCTGATTTGAATCATGATTTGTGGTTCGTTACAGTATTTTTTCTCACAAAAAATTCACGTAAATCGAAAATGGTTTGAATCACATGGTTTGAATCCTCCAACCAAATCAAATCACTTGTATAATTTTAATGACTAAAATAATGTCTAATCAATCATATTATACTATATTATTTTAAAATTTAAAAATATTTTTTAGGATTAATTTCGTTGGCGCCCCTAAATTTTGAGATTTTTTTCACTTTGTCTCCTTAATTTTAAAAATTCTCACTTTGTTCTTGAACTTTGAATTTGTCCCATTCAAGCCTTTCTACAAGAATTCTGTTAAAATCAAAAGGAAAAAAAATAAGGAGTTTAAGTGTGATAATGTGATTTTTATGTGTTTATTATTAACAAAAATTTAAATAGAAAGACTACGAGACTGTATTAATCTCTTTTCTTTTTCTATCTGTTTTGCACATAAATCACAACAAAAAAGATTTAGTGAGGATAATTTAAAATTCAAAAGACAAAATAAAAATTTTTAAAATTCAGTTGACAAAATAATAGTCCTACTCTTTAATTAACTTACTGTGCTTATTCATTAAATAATATGACGATGTGGACATGTGATCCGAAAAGAAGCATAATTCTATTAACATAAAAAAAACACTTAAAGATACTATTAGTATTACTAATAAAAAAATGAGTTTCATAACACACTATGGGACTCATTTAGTTTATAAATTAAAATTATAAGATTAAAATTATTTTTAATATATGTATATTTTTTATGAAAAAAAATATTATAATAAATTATAAATTATAATTCAAATTATTAGTATAAATTTTCTTACCAAACGTCTCATTATTATTAACGAGTGTCGAGTGGTACCGTGCTCTATACTATTAGGTAACATGTGGTGGTGAGCACGAATGATGTCTGAGTCGTACAATAAGGTGTATTTTAGATTGGGTCACGGCAGCAGCCGGTAATAATGTTGACACGTGTCAGTGTAAAAATCCAGTTTTAGGGTTCAGAGCCAGCGTGCGTGGGGTTGAAGCAGCTGGTCGCTCTGTCTCTCTCGTTCTCCTGTGTCTCCCGTCTGTTGGGGGGAATTTACGAAATACCGATATTGCCCCTGCCTCGCTCTCTCTCGCCTCTCTTTCTTCTTCCTAAACAAACTTCTCTCTCCTCGAGTTGGGAATGGGACGTGATGCGAATTAATGGCTTCTGCAAAACCCTAGCCGCCATTACTTGTTCGACCAAACAAGAGTCGCCGTCGAAACCCGCGAATTCTTCAGTGGATTTATTGTGCAATTGGCGCTACTTTCGGTTGAGTTCCGCTGCTAATTGCCGTCAAGTGTTGGAGTGCTGAAGATTTGTTCGTTTGAGGTTGTTTTTCTCTGTTTTTGCCCCTCTTTGAATTTAGAATTCGGTTTATTCATTTCTCGCTTGATCCATGTGAAAATTCGACAAAGTTCTGTTTTTACTTTTTTTGTTATGAAGATTGTAGGATACATACATACATATATATACATATATAATATACATATACACATATATGTATATATATGTATGTTATTGTAACGTAGCTTAGTCATCATGTAAACATGGTTAATTTGTTAGGCACGTTCATTTTGACCCAAATAATTTGGAAATTGCTTAATTGTAGCGTTCTTTTATGCTTTTCATTTAATTTCTTCTTAGTGAAATTAAAGAGGTTTCGAGAAGCTTGTCTCTGAAACTTAGTTACTTGGAAATTTCAGGTCAGGATTATGGTGGTCTGTCAGGATTTCAGTGTTTTATTTGAGAAGAAGCAATATTGCTGAAAGCAGAAGTGACAATCTCTGGAGGCATATTTGAACTATATAAAAAAGGTTTGGGTGCTAAGTTTGACTATTGGGGGTATTAGTGCTTTTCCTTGTCAGGAATGGCAGAGGACAGCCTACGAATTGGTGGGCTTTCTTCTGGGTTGGCTGTTATATTGAATGGTGAGGATAGTAAAGAAGGTTCGTCGAAATCCCGGCTTGTTTCGAATTGTGATGATTTTGGCCATCAATCGGTGGAACGAACTCTAGAATACATATTTGGTCTCCCTAACAAATCAGTTGGTTCGATATCAGATCAGATTGACGGCAGTCTAATCCGTGCAATTATAAAGAATGAGTGCTCGGAATTTCGTTCAAGTTCCGGCGTCTTGCTTAGAAATAGAGATGGGATTTGTGCTGTTGGTAATGGTTGTGGACCCCATATTATGGGTCTTGACGAATCCAGTATTTGTGGTGATATCGGAATCATTAGACCACCTTTGCTTGTAGAGAGCTTAGCTATGTTCAGCAGTGCTAGGGCTAATGCTTCTGTGTGGAAAGGAAAATGGATGTATGAAGTCATTTTAGAAACTTCAGGTATCCAACAGCTAGGATGGGCAACTCTTTCTTGCCCTTTCACTGACCATAAGGGTGTGGGTGATGCTGATGATTCATATGCATTTGATGGTAGGAGAGTTAGGAAATGGAACAAAGATGCTGAGCCATATGGGCAGTCATGGGTTGTTGGTGATGTTATTGGATGCTGCATAGATTTGGACCATAATGAAATATCATTCTACAGGAACGGTGTCTCCCTTGGTGTTGCTTTTCGTGGGATCCGTAAGATGGGTCCAGGATTTGGATACTTTCCTGCAATTTCTCTTTCTCAAGGTGAAAGATGTGAATTAAATTTTGGGTCCCGGCCATTCAAGTATCCAGTTGAAGGCTATCTCCCTTTTCAAGCACCTCCATCTATAAATTCTTTTGCTTTTCATTTGCTTCGTTGCTTGTCAAGGTTGTTGGACATGCATTGTATGGAGCGGGCTGAGCATTCTTCTTTTGAGAAACTAAGGAGGCTGAAGAGGTTTGTTTCATTTGAAGATCTTTTTCACCCTGTTACTCGTGGGATATGTGAGGAATTTTTCCATGTACTCGAGGCAAATGCCCAGAGCATAGAATACATATCTTGGGGTCCGTTTCTGTCATTCATGATGGAAGTCTTTGGAGTGCAAGCACCGCATGATTATTCAAGTTTGGATAGAATTCTAGATGTCTTTCTAGAATTTCAAGGATCAAGTTTGTTGTTTGAACACATAATAAATGCCCTTTCCTGTGGATGTAAAGCAGCTAAGTTGGTCCTAACAGAGTGCCCATGGTCGGGGTCATACCCTTATCTTGCATTGGCATGTCATCTTTTGAGGCGAGAAGAACTAATGGTGCTCTGGTGGAAGTCAACAGATTTTGAGTCCCTGTTCGAAGGTTTCCTTTCTCAGAAGGGTCCAAACAAGCAAGACCTTGAGTCCATGATACCATCTGTTTGGTGGCCTGGTTCGTTTGAGGACTTGTCATATGAAAATAGCATGTCGTTGACAACTACGGCTTTATCTGATGCTGTCAGTAAGGTAAATATCCATACAGCTTTGTTTTTCTTCTGAAAATGTATCTGTTTGATGAGGATTGCCTGAGAACCCCTTGGGGGCACATGATAGTTGCTTCTGAATATGCATTTGTATAAGTTAACTTCTGTAGATTGATGTTTAAATGATTGTTAAATAATAGACAGGATTTTGGGCTACAATGATTCTTAACCTGTACTTTTGCATAGTGGCTGTTCAATATAAGTATTTGAACACGGCTGATCTCTATTAACAATGCAAGTCTAAAGTTCTGTAATGCCAAATTGTAAAATTTTTTCCTCGATTGATTTGTTGGACCTCATGAAGTTGCTCTCTTAATTTAAATTAAATAAAAAATTTAAGCCTAGCATCTTACGTAAACTCCCTATTAAAGGAGTTCTTCTTCCTTTTTTTTCCCCCTCTCTTTTATTTTCTGAAAGAAGTGTTACCTTACCTCGAGTGTTTTTCCACAAAAATTGTTGTCATTTCACATTCAAATAGACCGCAGGTCTAGTTGTTCCCCACGAACCAAACTATTTGCATAATAGCTGCCTAACTTCAAATTGAGCTCCAAAGTATGGGGAGTTTGACACAAACAAACAACAATTTGAAGTCTGTTAAGTTTTTGGTAGAAGCATGTAATCTAAGTTCAGGACTAATCTATGAATTCAATTATTTCGCTGTGTTTTGTGGATCTGATTTGGGGATTAATTGCTTAGTTTTAAAGGTTATCTTGGTCTGACATTATTTAATCTGATATCAGTGACATATAGGAATTTCAGGTTATCAGTGTTTTGTTCTAGAGGAAAATTAGTTTCTTTTGCTTCTTGTGTAGGGGCCTGATCCAGTTTACGGTGTTTATAGACATGAAATTGATAAGAATTGTTCTGTTTACAGATTGAGGAGAAGCATAGGGACCTTTGTCGCTTGGTGATACAGTTCATACCACCTGTGACACCTCCTCAGTTGCCAGGTTCAGTGTTTAGGACATTTTTGCAAAACCTCTTATTAAAGAACAGAGGAGCAGATCGCAATGTCCCGCCTCCAGGAGTTTCTTGCAATTCTGTTCTTGTTTCTTTGTACACAGTTCTACTTCATTTTTTATCAGAAGGATTTGGAATGGGGGACATCTGTGACTGGTTAAAGAGATGTGAAAACGGTCGTGATGTTGGTTTTCTTCATAGGGGTGGTGAACAGAGTTTTCCAATTGCCTTGTTCCTAAAAAATGATCCCCATAGAACTGACATTTCTAGGCTTGGTGGGTCATTTAATCATTTGTCGAAATTACATCCTGTGAGTGATCAAGATGATGAAGTAGTTCGATGGGAGGAAGGCTGTATGGATGATGAAGAAACAAGAGTAACTCATTTAAGCTCAAAAAAACCATGCTGTTGCTCAAGTTATGACGCCGATTTCGCAAGAAGCATGAAAGACCCTATCAGATACACAAACAAAGGTTCTCGTTCTCATTGCAGCTCTATTTCAGAGAGGTCTGCTCATGTTGCTACGGAATGCAGTGCTGGAAGTTTAAATGATGAAATAGCAGATAAACCAAGTTCCAGTGATCAATCTGAATCTGAGTTTGATTATCGGCCAGTGCAGCATATTTGGTTTGTACCCAGGGAGAGTAACATCTCGTCAGCTACTTTAAGAGAAGAAGAACTTCTTGATGTTTTGCTGTTGCTTTATCACATAGGTCTTGCGCCAAACTTTAAGCAGGTGAGGATTTTTTATGATATATATATATATATATATTTTTTTTTTTTTTTTTCTTTTTTAATATAAAGAATGTTGTCGACGGTTTATTTCTTTGATGTTTCTATACTTGCATTTACCCATTTGGTTGGCTTAATGAGTTTCTATCGAACCTTGAAGTGTGATATGCAATTCAGAAGACCATTTGTTAATTTATGACTTTGTAAGTTTGTAATATAGTTTTCTTATTCTTGGGTGACTCTGATTTCTCAATTCTTTGTGCCGGCTAATGGCCTTTTTAACACAAGTGATTTCATCTCTAAACAGGTTACCGTCATGTGTTCGTCTCCTTACTTAAATTTGAATTATGTGATTGTTCTGCTGCATTCTTTGTTAAATATTTTCTTATGTACCTTATTAATCCTTTCTCGTCCGGTCCTTAAAACTTTTGATTATCAATAAATTTCTTGCAACTTTTTTCACCAGGAATTGTCTCTGGTTAGTGTGCATTTGTTTTCATGTGATGATTCTTTAGGAACTGAATTTTCAAAATATTCTTATTGTAGGCATCATATTACATGTCTCACCAGTCACAATCAATATCCCTTCTAGAAGAGGCTGATAGACAAATAAGAGAACGAGCATGCGGTGAGCAATTAAAGCGTTTGAAAGAAGCTCGTAATAATTATCGGGAAGAAGTTGTTGACTGTGTCAGGCATTGTGCATGGTGAGATTACTGTCACAAAATCTTGCATTTTGCATTATTTCCATTCTCAGATTGCTGCTATTGAATATTTATGGTTAGTCTTTGACCCTCTTCTCATCAACTTGAGGGGTTTAGGCGATGATAATAACATAAATGTTATGCTATATATTGAACTGAAACATAAATCTTGGGTACTTCATATATGGTTTGGTAATTGCGCCTGTTCTTGTTACAGGGGCTAATACTTTTTTTATTTCTTCCAATCCTTCGATGCATTTATGTTTGGTTGGCTTTTTTTTTTTTTGATCAAATCATTTTTTATGGTTGCATGCCATATCTACTGGCTTCTATGCGGTTTTTAAACTATTAAAACTACTTTATAGGGATGTATATTGATCAGGTTCTTATTTCTTTGTATCCATATGATATTTTGTGATGAGAGCTCGTTGTACCGTGCAATTGTTCCTCGAGATGGATTCTCCTGTAAAGTTTCTTTCTGGCTTTTATAGTTTGGGCCTTACTTTGCAGCTTTAATCAGCATTTCTTTCTTTCTTTATTCTTTTTATTATTATCATAATTATTATTTTTTGTGGTGGTAATTCTATTGCTGGCTGCATGCTTTTGATGAGTGTGTTTATTGCACACTCAATTTAGCTCATTTTGTATCTGTTACTTTTCTCTAGAAACTTGTAGTGTTCATATATTTTGTGGGTTTTCCCAAGATTCCTGGCCTTCGATTGAATCTTGAAGTGTGCTACGTTGAAAAAGAAGCTTTTAGCACGTGATTTTGAATTACAATATATATTATTTTACAATGTTTACAATGTGTTGATCAGTAAATTATACCATACAGGTATCGCATCTCTCTATTTTCTCGATGGAAGCAAAGAGGAATGTATGCAACATGCATGTGGACTGTACAATTGCTTCTGGTGCTTAGTAAAGTGGATTCTGTGTTCCTATATATACCTGAATACTATCTGGAAGCTCTGGTAAATCCAATTCTTTTTTAAAAATGAACATGACATGTCTAAATAAGAGTCAATTTGAACATTAAAATTTTGGAGACAATTATTTTATGTCCCTCGTAGGTTGTAATAAGAAAAATGCATTCCTACATAGTTGCATGCAATAGACAAGTTCTTAAAATGCTTTAGATTGTTGGTTTTGCTTGTTACTGCAGCTTAGTGATTTAAAATATGTGCAAAACTATACTAATATTTCCCTTTCCTAATCTTTTTGGGAATAGTACTGAGAAACTCCTAATTGGTTGTTATCTGCTTGAGTGAAAGTGGTGTGCGTGCTTGGTTGTAAGGTTGCAAGTTATTAGTCTACTCTAATAATTTGATGTCCTTGATTTTTCGCTGGCCTACATTTTCTTCCCCAGAGCGTGGCTCATACAATGTTATAGCTTCTGAATATTTAGTACATTAACGTACAACCATGTATGATGAATGATTTTTAGTGAATAATTTTACACGAATGTAAATATGTCGCTGCAATGGTTTTTACTTCTGGCATTGTGGATACTGAACATTAGCATGGCGTGTCATGTCTTTTGTTCATTTCTATTTTTATCCATTGGTATACTAACAATTGGCATTCAATCTCCTTTTCAGGTTGACTGCTTCCATGTGTTGCGTAAGGGTGACCCTCCATTTGTCCCTTCATCAATTTTTATCAAGCAAGGACTTGCTGCCTTTGTAAGTCTCATTTGTAAATCTTGTTTGATGGCCTTCGTATATTTGCTCTATTCTGCATGTACTTTGGCGTGAACAATGAAGTAGTATGATGCAAGGTTTTTAATCTATTATGCTTTGAGCAGGTTTGCTGAATTGTCTGCTGGGTTATTCACTTGTGGGGTTTAGAGGTTATGAACTCTGGTGAATTGTTATTAGTATTTTAGAATTATTATTTTTTAAGTTGAAGTGTCCATGGTGAATTTTACACTCTGATTTGATGTAATTTTGGGTTACATCCTTTAAGCGAGTAAGTTGTCAAGCGAGAAATTTTTGGTTTTAACTATGAGTATCATAAAGTGTTCCCTGAAACAGCTGCTCATCACATGGGTTTACCTTAGCCTATTAGAAAGTGAGAAGCCTTGACTTTCATGTCTTCTAAATTCCCAATGCAAATATAGCTTGATCATTTTTTAATTGACAGGTGAAAACTCAATTTCTTGGTTATACATTAGAGTACTCATGAGATTTCTACCTATACTATCTTTCGTGAATATTATGTTGAAATATGCCGAGGCTGTTAAACGCTTGCAGCATGTACACGAGTTAAAAATTTCCTTTTCCAGAGAAATTTTACTAATTTGTTGTATTCTTGAATTCTTCCGGAGATTGTGGTTACTGATTTCTTGGATGACTTCTTGTCAGGTCACTTTTGTTGTCACACACTTCAACGATCCTAGGATATCAAGTGCAGAACTTAGGGATCTTCTGCTTCAATCTATCTCAGTCCTGCTACAGTATAAAGAATATCTTGCTGCTTTTGAGAGCAATGAAGCAGCGACCCAAAGGATGCCAAAAGCGCTGCTTTCAGCATTTGATAACAGATCCTGGATCCCAGTAACGAACATTCTTCTGAGGTTATGCAAGGGCTCAGGCTTTGGCTCTTCAAAGCATGGAGAATCGTCAGTGTCGTCAGTTGTTTTCCAGGTGAATGTCAACACTCTGAATGTCATCATTGTTACTTTAAAACTTTTATCCTTTTACTATGGTGCAGTTTCTGACGGTCATTTTCCTGTCTTATTTGGCTTTATGATTCATAAAGAGATTGCTAAGGGAAGCTTGCATCAATGATGAAGGCTTGTTCTCTGCTTTTCTGAATCGCCTATTTAACACGCTAAGTTGGACAATGACTGAATTCTCAGTTTCTGTTCGGGAAATGCAAGAAAAATACCAGGTAAATTTTTGTTATGTCAGCGGATATCTTTTCTTCTTCTTGCTAATTATTCAAAATAAATGATAAATAAAAAATTATATACATAAAAAACCCGGTAAGTTTTTGTGCTATGAGGGCATGTGTTGCACACAAATGACCTAAGATGACAGTTGGGAGAATCGTGCTAAACCAAAGAGAGCAAGGAGTGGAGGAGAAGAGGAAGATAATTAAAAGAACAAGAAACAGGGAATGGAAAGCTGTTAAGCCGTGTTATTGAGAAGTTGGGGATCGCGTGCTAAAGAAAGCTGTAGCTCTAATCTACGTTTTTTGCTGTTAATTTGGCTCCTGGTTATTACTGTAGGTTAGGTCAATCGTCCACTAATAACGAAAGTGTAACAATCGATGGCATGGGTGGCGACATACTGGAAATGGTGTTTCTTTTAGAAAAGTCAGGTTTGAGGCACCATATTCTAGACCTGTAACCAGTTACCCGTGCAATGCACACTACAGTGAAGATATTGAATCTTCTAATGTTTTTATTTTTTGCAATTTCATTTGTAGTGTCATTGGGCATAGTAGTTTAATAGCTAGATTAACCTTATTCCTGGTCCTTGATACGGTTTTACGGTGAAGTAGAGGATCCTACGTTCCTATTTAAGCGGGTCCATTTTCTGACATTGTATGGTCATTTATTAAAACATGTGGTTAATAAAAATCTGCCAATCCTAGGCAATATCTGAGAGGATCTTGTAGTCTTGCTTTCCTATTTTTTTCTTTTTTTTTTTTTTTTTTTTTTAAATATGAAAAAGTTGCTGAGGGTTGTAGTTTTATCTCATATGGTGTAGCCACTAACGGTTCTGAGCAGTACACCTTCTAGGAAGTGCAGAATCCTCCCCATCCCCCTCTTTTTTTACGCTTTTTTATTCCATTGAGATATTTTCTGTGTAATTGTAGAAAATTATCTTTGCAGGTTTTGGAGTTTCAGCAAAAGAAATGCAGTTTCATATTTGACCTCTCATGTAATCTTACAAGGGTTTTGGAATTCTGTACCCGTGAGATCCCTCAGGCATTTTTGAGAGGAACCGATACAAACCTCCGGAGGTTAACAGAGTTGATTGTCTTTATGCTGAATCACATAACTTCTGCCGCAGATGCTGAGTTTTTTGAGCTGTACGTTCCTTACTATACTAGTAAATACACTATTTTGCTGTTTGTTGACTAGTTATTTTCTCTCTCCAATTTTATTTTCTTCCGGTTTTTTTTTTTTTCTTCAAACAACTTGTTGGACTACGAGGGAAGCAGGACTTCCCATCTCTTTTGGTGATTAATTTAAGTTTTTGATATCATTTTTGTTCCCATCATCGGTTGTCAAAATGCAAACACATCAAATAATACTAAAATTATGTATGGTCAGCGTCAGTCCAACTATGCAACTGAAAGAAAAAAGGCAGCTGTATTCTCATTGAAGTTTCTTGACTCATCTTAGCTTCAACTTTTTTGCAGGTCACTAAGACGACATGGCCAATCTTTAGAAAAAGTAAACAGGGGAATGATACTGGCACCTCTTGTAGGGATCATATTGAACTTGTTGGATGCTAGTGAAGATACGGAGTTCATAGAAGAGCACAATGATGTTGTGGGCATTTTTGCAAGCATGGATTGCCCTGGCAGCGTTCATTGCGGATTCCAGCTGCTGTTGGATTACAACTGGGTTTGTTTTGTCCCCCTCCTTTTATTTTGGCTCCATTTTGCCCCCTTTTTTTTGTGTCGTTGCTTGTGTGAAAGCTGTTCTGCAATCTCAGCATATAGTATCGACTCTCTTTTTAGGATTTTATTCATCTGTGAAGCAACCTAGGCCATAGATATTGTCTCTAAAACATGGAATTGGTACATGAACAATATCAAAAACTTTCATTTGTGTATAACTTTAGGGTTTCGAATGAAAAACCAAAAGACCAAAAAAAAAAAAAAAAATGTGTCAATGGATTCTTAAATACAAAAACAAATTAAGAGAAGGTTCACTTCTCCATTGTTTTTTACACAGAATTATCTGATTCTTTACCGTCTTCTTTATACTCATTCTCTTGATCAAATTTTCAGGCTGGGTCTTTTAGAGGGGATTCTTATCTTTCAAAACTTGGACAGCTAGAGAATTTCTTGGCTCTCCTTGTCAGCCGGAGTGAGTATGAAGTAGTTGGTAGGACAGGTTTTGAGGAAGAAACAGAAATTGTAGATGATAGCATTTGCTGTATTTGTTATGCCTCTGAAGCCGATGCAAGATTTGCACCTTGTTCCCACAGGTCTTGTTATGGATGTATAACAAGACATCTATTGAATTGCCATAGATGCTTCTTCTGCAACGCGACGGTTCTCGAAGTTGTCAGGATTGGTGAGAAGGCAGATTAGAGGACTGCTTTGTATATTAGGGTTACCTGCTTATAATGTATACCTCCTTGTTATGCATCATGAGCTGGTTAGTGGCAGATCTATCGTTTTCAATTCGATCTGAAACTAATCAGCTTCTGGTCAAAACAAGCCTTAGGATTGTAAAATGATGTGAGACAGAAAAGGAAAAAAAAAAAAAAAAATTGAGATCTACTATTAGAATTATAGAAATACTGTGTAAATGAGGTTGTTAAGGTTCTAGCAAAAAAAAAAAAAGAGAGATAGAGAGAGAGAGAGGCTGTTAAGGTTATGCAGTCAGAAGGAGACTGTAGTGGGATTTGGTCAAAGAATTTTGTAGAGAAAGATAGAGGACAATTATTCTGTAAATACGAGATGTAAATGGAAAGGAAATCCTTTAGTTCTTTCTCACTCCCGTCATCTATAAATTTGTACCGTTTTGTTGGTAATTTCTCTATTAGATACATAAACAAATGTATATACATTTTGTTATATTGAGTTATTGACCTATCGAATTGTGAAAGCAACATTTATTTGCCTGTGTATTAACGGATTTTAGATCAAGACGACGAGGTATTTTGGAGCAAAATACCTGCCCTAGTATTTGCATTTTAACACTCGGGCATGACAAAATTATAAGCAAACAAATTAAACAAAAATGAAGAGGTTGTTTGGTTGGGGAATTCGTCCCCTGATTCGAATTATGATTCGTGGTTTGTTACAGTATTTTCTCTCATAAAAAATACACGTAAATTAAAAATAATTCTAATCATATGGTTCTAATCTATGAACCAAACGTAATAGAAGTAAACGGTTTCCGTGGACATTCATTTTTTACCTGTTCATTTTTCGTTTCTTTTTCCATGTCTCCTCACAATTGGGGCAGGCCCAACAGGCTGAACCCAACAGTCATTCTTGACTCGACCATGTCACTAGCTCGATCCCAACTGCAATCCTAACCCCGACTTTAGTATTGTGTCGGTTCGACCGCGGTAGTTGTCACTATCTCTTGGCTCGATCCATTTTAATACCAACGTTGACACCAATCATAATCCTTTTTGGCTCGATCCATTTAAATACTAACGTTGATACCAATCTTAATCCCTTCATAATTTTAGCTTTGAAAACAAGATATTTGTGTTTCCATAACTTAAAAAAATTTAATAACATCTTGCAAAAATAATAATTAAAACAAGTTTACCAAACATGTTTTTTTTTTTAAAAAAACATTTCACATTTTTGTTTTAAAAAAATACTATTTAAATAAAATATATCTAACGGACGCTAAGAAAAGCTAAACTCTTGGAATTTAGAGATAGAAGCTCCAACCTCATCAAGTGACTAATTCTAAAGAGAAAAAAATTTAGAAACTTCTTTGAGTTTAATTGAATAAAAAAGACATAGATATAAACCTCATAGCATCTAAAATGATGCACATCTTCTTTTCGAAGTCACCTTTTGTATCAACAAACAGCTCATCCAGCGAGAAATCACAGTTTTTCTTGCAAAGCAAACAAAATAAAATTTAAAAGCAAGATCTTTTCTATTTTTTTTCTTTTGCAAGTAATGGAAACACTATAAACACAACATGAGAATAAGACGTTAATTTAAATTATAATTCAATGTCGTAATTAAAAAGAGAGAATAATTCAATACAATGTAGAATTTTGCAGGTAGATTAAGAAAGAATAAACTTTTCAGACTATATATACTAAATTCTTTTAGTATTAAGTAAACCCAAAAATTTAACTTTGTCAATATTCAAAGAAAAAAAAATGTATACGTATATATCATCCACCTCCACCGTACGGCCATCTGCCGATGACATCAATCGTAGCTAAAAATGAGCATATTGTCGCAATAACGTATTTAGCTATAATAAACCTATAAAATAACATAGGTCTCGTTTTTTGCGGATTTAAATTTTTAATTCGAGTTGAGATGTGATATTTTTTGAGAATTTTTAACTGTAAAAACTTAAAACTGAAAACTCAAATCGGTGAAATGAACGAGACAATAATAACCATAACATTCACACACTTTAATTGTTTTCACCAAAAACTTAACAAAGTGACTATTTATAACACGTTTTTAGTTGAAGAACAATTTATGGACAAAATCGAATACATTGATTAATTTTAGACAGAGAGAGAGGAATTGCACGATCTCTCATGAGTTTTATCCAATAAAAAAAGATACAAATACAAACTTCATAACATCTAAAATGGTGCATATTCTTTTCAAAGCCACCCTTTGTATCAACAACCAGCTTATCCCACGAGAAATCACAGTTTTCCAACCAAAAAAAAAAAAAAAAAAATTAAAGCAAGATTTTTCTATTTTTTTTTCTTTTGCAAGTACTGAAAACACTATAATCACTTATAACACTTGCATTGTGGAGTATCGATGACTGCCAATATATGTAACTACAAAAAGCATATTCCAACGAGTACCGTTGAGCAAAAATATTAAATTTAAAATATTCCACGCATAACATAATTTCACCTACATTAAAATTTTGCTAACATGACATAGAAATTTATTATTTTTTTAGTTTAACTTATTCAAAATCATAAGAATAACCTCTTAATTACATTTTCTTAGTACAATGGAAAAACTTTTCGATTACAATTACGATAATATGAGATTTACTTGTAATTTTAAAAGATTATGTGTATCTATTTATATATATATACACATAAAAAATAACACATTAAAATCGAGAGAAATGCGAAGTGGGTACTTCTTCCGTCTCCGCCATCTCCATCCTCGATAATTGTTCCCTATTTTTGCTCCGTTTTTCTTCATAGATATTATTGCCATATCGATATAGATCAAAAAGTTTAAAAAATGCGTCAATATTCTATCAATATAGACAAACAAAAAATAGCAAATAAAATTGAACAGTAGAGATAAATACTCTTTAGAGAGCATTATTTTTACCCCTCAAATCTTGCTTAATAGGTAAATTTGATGAACATTTAAAAAATGGTTCTAATGATAAAAAATTATTTTTTATACGAAAACCAACCACAGAATTTTCTCTAAAATTAAACCTAAAAAGCCGTGCATTGACGAAACTGCCCTGACATTAATCAGAAATTACAACCAAAACATCAGCAGACTGCAGCATTCCTCTGTAGCCGTAGCGCGTAGGATCGGAGGCTGCGAGAGGAGAGAGAGAGAGAGAGAGTAGCAATGTTCTCGACTATGAAGTTGCAGGTATCGAACCCTGCCATCAAACCGTTCCACAACCACGCCTTCTCCAGGAGCCTTAATTCAGGCCGTCTGCGGTACGATCTCCGGCCACCGGCGCGGCGCCTCAGCTGCCTCTCCGTCAAATCGGAATCCTCGTCGCATTTCACGGCGGCGGTCGGAACTCCCTCTCTCTCTTCCTCGCGTTCGCTTCTTCTCTCTCACTGGAACGTCTCTCACCGCCACGTCCTCATCCTCAATGTCGTTGCTTGCGCGGTAATACTCTCTCTCTCTCAATTTCTATTTCTCGTTAGGTTTTTCTCAATTCTTGATTGTTAGTGTGAAGGAAACCGCAAAATTGCGTATTTTTGTTGGTGGTGAATGATGATGATAATAATAATAATGCCGTTGTGGTTGATCATTGTAGGTGGCTATTTCTGCGACCTGGCTCTTCTGCTCTGCAATTCCGGCGCTTTTGGTTGGTATTCTTGAATTCAAGCTCTTTTTTTTTTTTGTCATTTTATTTACTATGGCATTGTAGCTCAGGAATTGGAAAATGCGTTTTCTGGTAAGTTTTTTTTTTTTTTTTTTTTTTTTTTTTTTTTTTTTTTTTTTTAATATAATTACCAGATTAGTACATATTCTTTCTTATCAGTTCTGAAAATAGACTTGAGGAGTTTTTTTTCTCCCTTTTACTGTGAATTTGTTGGTCTCTGTCTTTACTTTGATACGAAAATTAGAAATTGGTAGCCTATTTGACATTGTTGCTTGAGTATAGCTAAACGAGCTTTCTAAGAATATCTTGTACTCAGAAAAGCATTTTTTCCTCCAAACGTTTTCTGGTTTATGTTCCATGGCTAGGTATTCTTAGCGGTGTTGCATTTTTCTGAATGTTTGCATCTAGTCAAATATATGTATATATATATATATATATATTCAAAGAAATGGTTTTTCCTCCCTTTAAGTGGCGGTGTCAATAATTTTCCCCCTTTTTGTTAATTACTCCCCAATGTAAAATACTATAGGCTTTCAAGAGAGCAGCTGAATCACTTGAGAAGCTCATGGATGTCATGAGGGAAGAGCTTCCCGACACAATGGCAGCTGTTAGATTATCTGGGATGGAGATCAGTGACCTTACAATGGAGCTCAGTGATCTTGGGTTGGCTTCCAAAACTCCACACCTTATAACTGCAGCTCATCTATTTTACTCAATTCCCACTAATGCATAATTATTGATTATCAGCCAGGAAATCACACAGGGAGTTAAGAGTTCTACTCGAGCTGTCCGAGTGGCAGAGGATAGGCTGCGCAGCTTGACTAACATGGCTCCGAAAGGTTACTTTGTTTTCCAGTAAACTTTTAGTAGCCTCTTGATTGGTAATTGGGTCTTGAGCAATGAATGAATATTTCTTTGTTTTTTACTTGATTAGCATCATTGCAGGAGGTAACCAATTCGAAAACTGAGGCATCTGGACCTCTGTTGGCTACAACAATAAGAGGAGTGAAAGAGGGGATTGTTAAGGGTCGAGCAATCTGGCAAATGTTTTTCAGTCTCGCCCGGTTTTCCAGGTTTGCGCTTAACTATTTAGCCAGTCGAAATAAGCGGGTAGGTAGATTTTAATTTGCAGGAGCTTTGTGGACAGGGACATTGAGATATTAAATCCTGTACATACTTCTTTTCTCAAGATTGCTTTGTTGTTATGAGTCAAGAGGTCATGTTTTTCTATTGCTGGTTGTTGGGCTCTGAAATCCTATAGATTTGATTAGGTTGGGGACATTTGTTTCTTTTGCAAATTGCATGAGAAACCTTCGTTATGAGCTGAGATACGTTTTGTATGTAAGCTTTCAGTGCCCATGAAGTAAAATGTCGGTATGATACAGGGTTTTGTGCTGTATGGATCATTACTTGGGCATCAGTTTTTTTGGGACTGTATCCCAATGATAGTATCTTTTATCAAGTCAAGATTTAGTTCAGCAGATTAAATTCGTTGTGTTTAAGGGTTTGTTTGTTTTTTGTTTTTTGTTTTTTTCTTTTAAATCTTATAATTTGATTGCAAGATGACTTGAAGGTCAATTGCACGATCAATTGCAGAGAGAGAATTCGTGTATGACAAAAAATTCGTTACTGAACGTAGTGTTTAATTCCTCATCATTACTTGTACCTTAATTGTCGTTTTCTTATTGCATTTGAACTTAAATTGGATTTGGACTACGGGTGTTTGATCAAGACTTCCTTATCAGAACAAAATTTATTATTGCGGGCACTTAAAAGAGACATGCCACCAATCTATCCCTTGGATTGATTTTATGCCATTAGGAAAAGTTCTTACATAGAAAGTCATGCTGCCGTATTAAGATACCAAAAACCCCTAATACAGTAGCAACCGATCCGAATATAACCATGATACCTAGATGTATTATGTCATGATACTAAAAATTCCACAACTTACTTAGGTATCCTGTTTTTATGCTAAAATTTTGGCACTGGGCGATACCCAGCCGGCAAAGGCCAATGCCCTATCGTGACGCTTGGAGGTATATCCCGTCACGATACTAAACATTCTCAAAATCGTCGATAACAAGTAGGTGACTGTTGATCTCCTACCACCATGACACTCAGAGGGCTGTGGTACTACTTTTTATTATTTATTCACTTATTTTTTTTGGCTAATGAGAGAGGACTGTGGAATTTAGATTTATGATGTGTTTGTTAGGTTTTGAACCAAAAGTTTGGATTAAAATTCAATTTTTTTTTTTTTTTTATAAATAAAACGGAAGAATAAAGTAAATAGCATAAATAATTGAAGTAAATAACAAATTTTAAAACTATTTAAAGTAAATAATAGCAAATTAAAAATTTACGTGGTTAAAATTTTTTTTTAAGAACTGTAAATAAAAAATTTACGTAGTAAAAAATCTTTTTATTAGTCATAAATTAACAATTTTTATTTTATTTTATTGCTGTTTACTTTAAATATTTTAAAATTTGTCATTTACTTAATTTAGCTCATGAAAATACCATTTACTAATTTTTGAAAAAAAAAAAACGAGAGAGGAAACATTGTAACCAAAAAAAAGTTCAAACTTTTTGGTGCAAACTTATGAAACAAACAAACGCTACAAATTCTGAAAACTGACGATTGCCAGCAGGTGGTTGCCACTATGTAGGTTGAAAAAACTAAAAGAGCTATTCCATCTTCTTGAAATGAAGATTGAGGCTTGGAAAAAAAAAAAACTTATCTACCTGGAAATCCACTAAAGGGAAACTCAGCACAAGTTTATGCCGAGGACCCAACCCAAAGGGCCATTTTTGTCTCCACAAAAGGTAGGTCGTTTTTCGCTCTAGCATTGCAGAAAGTTGAGTATGTCGGTTGTATATTCTTCACCCCAAACTTTCCTTTTGTGCATTTCACAGTTCACTTCTTGTAACTAGTTAGTGAACTCCAATTCTGTTCCTTTACCTGAAAATGGGATCAAATTTCAAGTAGAGAGAGAGAGAGAGAGAGAGAGAGAGAGAGAGAATTCTCATTTCTTGGGGACGCAGATGTTATTTAATTGGGGCCAGCAATGGCAGACAGTAACAAATGCACCCACATGGAAAATAGTATTCATTTGACCCACATAGAGCTCATTCATTGAAGAGACATGAACAGTAAATATGTCTCTTCCTTCTTGTTCTTTTCTTGAATTACACACACACACACACACATATATATAGAGAGAGAGAGAGAGAGAGAGAGAGAGAGAGAGAGATTGTGTTTTGGGAGAGGACAAGAAGACGAGAAACTACATAACAAGTGAAAGAGGACAAATTACCTCACTTCACATCCTAACCACCTCACAGAGTAGCAGTAAAAGAGCTTCTTACTTTTTTTTTTTTTTTGGCTTTTTTATTACTAATTTACTTAATTTATTCTCTGAAGTCGCTGGTTTAAAAAAAAAAAAAAAATCGTTCCAATTAAGTTGAAGGATGGATGTTGTTTATGCAATTAGTCAGATTCTTGGGGGAAAAAATGATGAAGCTGAAGGTAGGTCCTGCCGTCCAATATTTCTTTCAATGGTGAACTCATTATAGTGATCATTTATGTCATAAACTTCTAAGCAACTTAAAAAAAAAAAACATGCAGTACAGATACTCATTATGGGGACTTAAGAATATATGGACTCGTTTAGTTCGCTGATTTGAATTTTTAATTTGAGTTAAGATGTGATTTTATATTAAAGATTTTTACTGTAAAAAAAAAAAATGTGACTGTTTTTAAGAACTTTTTACTGTAGCAAAATTCGAATTCTAAATTTGAATGGGTGAAATAAATGAATGATATATCACAATTCTCTTCACAAATTTGTTTTTTTTTTTTTTTTTTGAATATTCAATATAACGGGTATGCGTTGCTTGTAATCTCTCTCTCTCTCTCTTATTCCTCGCTTCTGCAAATTGTATACAAATTTATGCCTCGTTATAGGAATTAAAAAAAAAAAAAGGCCATTACGATAAGGAGCCCCCACAAGTGTCGGGAATGTATCTAACCATATCAAAAGGCTAATGAACGTTAAACCATTAATGAAAATAATCTCAAGCGCTTCTTAAAAGACTCGAATTAACATCTCTTATCTACCAAACCCTCTTAGGAATAAACCCCACGCATGTGGCTATCACGTCATGACAAATATGTATGTTCTAATTAGCTATATGTATACTTGTATATAAAACAAAAAATAGTTATATGTATACTGTTGTATGCTAAGAGTCCCACATCGGTTGGAGACGGAGTCTGGAGAGGTATATGTATCAGAGTGCCAACCCCTCCTACTAGCGAGGCGCCTTTTACGAATGGACAAAACCCCACCCGTCACGGCGGGTCCAAATGGGAACAATACTTCGCCGGTGGGCCATCGGTGTGTGAGAAATTATGGTATCAACAGTTGGCGCCTCCACTGGGGACGTTTGGCCACGGCCTGCCTCCCCAGTCCCCCCGTCTCGGGGGGCACTGTTGTATGCCAAGAGTCCCACATCGGTTGGAGACGGAGTCTGGAGAGGTATATGTACCAGAGTGCCAACTCCTCCTACCAGCGAGGCGCCTTTTACGAAGGGACAAAACTCCACCCGTCACGGCGGGCCCAAGTGGGGACAATACTTCGCCGGTGGGCCATTGGTGTGTGAGAAATTCTGGTATCAACATATACATTATTGCATTAAAAAAAAAGCTTCAAGTATACGTTGCATATTGGGGGGAATTGTTGTACTTAAAGGGAGAAAATGAGTTTTGAGAAACAATTATGTATAAAACTAATGAGTATTTGCCACGAAAATACAGACTCAATTACAGACTCTTTTATATATGCTATTCTTTTTCATTAACATGTGTCCTTCTATTTTTTCAAAACAAACAACTTAATAATAAGTCAATTCTTTTAACCATAATTATAAGAGTGCCATCCCCTTTAAGAACTAAGCCTAGGATTGCACATTTTCTACACATTGTTTACAAATATTCACTTCACTTTTTCTTTTTTCTTTTTTTTAATGAGAATGCATCCTAGTTTTGGTTTTCAATACTGTTTCAAAATGATACATAACATTTTCAATCGTTGATTTTTTGAGCAAAAAAAAAAAAAAAAGGTTTACCTTTATTAAATAATAAAATAAAGGCTATATTTATTTGTATATATAATAAACATATATATATATATACATGTATTATAGCTTAATTATATTATGTATTAGCTTACAGATTAAATATATTTATACATGTATATATAATATAGCGCAACGTAAACAAAAAACGGTAGTTGCGATTTCAGACATATGTTCTTATGTTATATTTATATATCATATACATTTGTATTTAGATATTATAAGTATATTTTAACGTTTGACAGTTTTCTTTATATACAAAAAAAAAAAAAAAAATCTTGTGTTTAATTTGATATTACTCTGCATTGGAGTTTTCAGTATTTGCATAAAACTGAATTGTAACTCTATATAATAGGTGAAAAAATAAGGTTTCAATCTTCTAAATAATTGGTGAAAAAAGTAAACACCAATGGTTCACGGATAAAAAATATGGGATTAAAGAGAAAGTGACACTCTTGTAATTATGGTTGAAAAAACTGGAACTCAGCAACAGTTGATGTGACTTATAATTAACCAACAAATAATCATGTATGCCTCATTTCCAATTGAATTAATTACAGTAATTGATAAATATATCTAAAATAAAAATTTTACATGCCTGCATGTATACATATCAAATATTTAGTACCTAGTTATAAATTACCAAAAATTGTACACTGCTACATTCATTTTTAAATTTTTTTTTCACATTATATATATACGTATTTACAATTTTCTTTTTACCTTGTACCACTTATGATTGAAAGGAGACACCGAATTTCTGTTTGGTTTAGATCTTTGTTTCATACAAAACTCGCTTGAATATCACCCATATATATATATATAAATATATAAACTGAAAAGGGCAAAGAAACAAGTAATTAACTAGCAAGGAGAAGAAGAAAAACATCATTTACACCACCCAAAAAGATAAATAATTTTTCCCACAAGTCTACATTAATATCTATTCATAAGCACCAAGCTAAAAATAATCTCAAAGGAGAGTTAACTTTAAATGAGCTGCCCATACTATCATTAATTTAGCTTAATTGGTAAAAAAGACATGAAATTGAAGCACATATCTACAAACTCACAGAAATCGATCTTATATCTCTGAAGACCATAGAAGATGAAGTTAGTTAAGAGTCAAGAAGATTAATATTAATTAAGGACACTTTTCAAAACTCAAAAGCAACCTGGAAGGTTTATGAAAATTTAATCAGTTGGTCTGACCACCCGATCCACTGCCTAAGCCTGATCTTGGTGGCCTTCTTGTAGCTCTTCGCAAACTCACAACAAAGAAGTTTCCCTGTAATATTACCAAATAATTAAATGGAAAAAAAAAGGGAAGATATAATCAGCCAAAAAATGTAATCTAAAACCGATAAAAGAAAAAAAAAAGAAAAGGAAGTATATATATATATATATATATGTATATATGTACACACACACACATACCTGAGTGATTTCCGTTTGAGTTTGAGATTGATTAGGAGCAATATTGGAGTCATAGTGGTCAGTGTCGTGGCCAAAGCACTTGAAGAAAGCCTTGAAAATTTGTTGAAAGAAGTAGCAAGGGCTGTACAAAGGACAACTATAATTTGTTTCTTCTCTTTCCTTCTTCTCAAGATCATCATCATCTTTTTGTAGGGTTTCCATTGATATCTCTTTCTTTGATCTTCTTCTTCTTCTTCTTCTTCTTCTTCTTGTTTGGTAATTTACCCTTTTTCTGCGTTGGTGAATGGATATTTATTTCACCAGCTACACAGTGATTTCAGATGTCTCTATTTCCCAGAAGACACCTGCCACTTTTTATAAATGCAAAGAGTTCCCTGCCCTTTTTTCCCTTGAATTAAATGCAAAGCAATTAATGGCATCTCACTATATTTTCTTATTTTAGTCATTTATTTATATTTATTTATTTAATGGCTGTATGGATAACCTAACAGTAATATATGGAGTTCGAATTCTTCTTTTTTTTTTTTAAAAAAAAAAAATCAAATTGTTGACCTTATTAAAAGTACTTAATGTAGTGTTAACATGCTTCAAACTGTGTTCGACAATTTTCTCTTTCTTGGATTAAATGAAAAATCTTATAAATGATATTTCTTCTTTTTTATTATTATTATATATTTTTTTTTTATTTCTTTGGTTGATATAAATTGGATTTTTTTAAGGGAACACATCATATTGGAAATTAATGCAGTCAATATGAATTAAGTAAAAATACTAATTCTTCCTTAATATAGCTTTTATTTTATTTTATTACGAGTGTAATGAAGGATAGGGGTAATTTTCTTCTAAAAAAAGACACACAACATTGTTTAAGAAAATCTTTATCGTTTATTTTTTTGGCTTTTTATGAAAAAGGTGCATGTTGGAGAGAGAGACAAGTAACACTCCACGTCCCAAATGATCTGGAATCGATGCCACCGTTTGACCCATACATATATAAAACGACACAAATATTCCTCTGAAATTGAAACTGAGATTCTATAACAGCCAAAACACTTTGCAACTCTTCAGATGCTTTTCTTCAGAATAAGCCAAACACTAAAATTTCATATTGGGACTGTATAAACCAAATCATGCATGTCATCCCAAATGGAATACTGGCAGGATTAGGTAATCTAACCTCATTTATCATGTTATTTTTGTTTTGTCTTAGTTAGCTGCATATAACCAATAAAAAGTGTTTGCCCAGCTACTTCAAAAGTACACCAAAAACATTTTGTAATTGTACAGACACCCCTTTGAAAACTTGATCAATCTTGCTGCCTTATACAACTTTGCTGAAACCCAAGTTTGAAAGGGATTTGTGCAACATAAACCGGTTTATCAATGATTTACCAATACATGAGTTAGTGATAAACAAATTTCAATCAATAATATCTGTCGGTTTATCAGTAATAGACCAGTGGTAAATCAATGATTACTGGTTTACCAGTGATAAACCATAGTATAGTGGTAGTTGACCACTGTTTAAAAAAAATCCCTTAAAAAAGAAAAGAAAAGTTAGGTTATTTTCCTTAAAAAAAAAAAAAAGAGTTCGGCCTCTAATTGAAAAGGGGTGGCCAAAATTGGCCATCCACCTACTTTTCCGGAGTTGAAAATCATTGATTTGTAGTGGGAAAATAAAGAACTTGTTAACGAACCTAGCTCATCCCATTTAAATAAACGTCATGGGACGTGCGGCGACGATGGTGCTTGTGTTAGGGTTGCGATGGTGGCTCTGTGGTGGTGGTGGGGCTCTGACGGCGAGTCTGTGGGTGGTGATGGTGAGGTCGCTACGGCTGCAAAATAGTTGGGGGAGGGGAGGATTGCGTCTCATAGTTTTTTTATAATTTCATGTGATACTCAGATTCCCGAGAAAATGAATAACATCTTATCAGGTAAATTTAGATTACCTCATTTTGGAGTAAAGTATGACTTTCTTAGGAATATAAAAAGTGCGATTCTTGTACTAAACACACGAATATGAGAACATTCTCATTCCTATTCAAAGATTATCTTATACCAAACACTTTCAGAACAAAATCCACAATCTTCAATGATACTTTGCCCGTCCATCTTTCTCATGCTGATAAATCAAGAAAATCACGACTTCATCGAGATATCCATCACATTGGGAATTTGCCTTATAATTGAATTTCTCTTTTGAGAGTTCATTTTCACCATAGAATTTTCGTCATCTCAAACTCTATATGAGACTTTTATTCATACACTCCCAACACGTTCATGTATGAAATTTCCATGTCACATAGCCACATCTTTCTAATATACTAATAACATGTTATTTAACGAGAACATAAATATAGCCTACGAGTCAATATTGTAAATAATAAAAGGCTTTTCCTTATGTCTCAGTTAAAACTCTTTCTGATGCGAAATTTATGAAATTAATGAGGGGTTGGCCAACAATATGAAAAGGCACCTAATTATGGCATAATGAGCTCTGGCTTGCAGGATATTCCAAAAAGTCAATATATGGTTCTTTTGGCATCGCATATAGCATTGAGATGGGAAATTAGGAAAACAAGAAGCCAATTTACATAAATATAGCCCTTTTAAAAGAATTTTTTTTAATTGACTCTTAAAATTGAATGTGAAATTAATATTGTTTTATTTGTTCAGTGTTGTCCTTTTTGTTTAAGTTTTTTAAGTTAATTTGTTTTAATAAAGAGGCAATTATGATTAAGAAGGTCACTCACCATTAATCCAAAAAGAAAAAAAATTACATAGCAAATTTATGATTGCGAGAATTGAGAGTTGAGTTAAAATATAACAATTATTTTTTTAAAAAAAAATTAACTTTTAGTAATGAAAAAATTACGATATTCAACTTTTATACTACAAAATCACTTAATATTATTTTAACGAAATTAACATTTTTATTTGAAAAATATTTCAAAAGTTTGATATAATTCAATCTGATTAGTAACCCCTCTCGTATGGTTCTCATAAAATGTCCAGGGCTCATAATCCAGCCCATCTTCTTTTCAATAATTCAGAAGTTCAATTTCCATCTTGAATTTGTAAAATACAATTTCCATCTCATTGTCTTGACCATTGCTTCAGTTCAGTGAGATATTATGAGCCATTTGACACCACTTAAAAATTTCAACTGATCACCTGAACTATCTCAATTTGCCACAAACTGGGTTGATTTTTACAATTGACACAGAATGAACCAACTTGTGGCAGTGCTCGACTTTGTAGATGTTCCTGTTGTGCACTGCTTTCTTCTTGAATGGCTCTTTAAGATTCCTGCCTCATGTCACAATTTTTCTTTCTCTCTTGCATTTTCCGGGCCGAATTCAACTATTTTACAAACCCTGAATAGACTGTGCTATTGGTGGTGGGGGCCCCCAATTTTAGGAGGGCGTTCAGCAAGCTGAACATGAAAATTCTTTTTCTGATCTGTGAAGGGCAATGCTCATATCTCATTGTTCTTTCTTCTTTTTTCCTTGTTGGTTCGAGGAATTTTCGGAGGCGGAATCCAACCCCAAACACTTGAGGAACGCTGTTCTTGCAAGGCGAACGTAATAGCAAGGATGGAAATATATGTTGATTCCTGCAGCGTACTGGTCTTCCCTATCTGCATTAATCTCTTCTCCTCTTCTCACTACTACTCTTCTGCTTGTTCCCGCCGCTATCTCTCCTTTTATACTCTGGTTTGCCCCAACCTGATCAAAAGATCATCCAATCTGTCTTATAAGCTAACAGTAACATGCATAATTTGTCAGCCAGAAAAAAAAAAAAGGAATGAGAATCTAAAATTAGGATTAGTATTGAGAATAGTTAATTTGGATTTGGAGATTTCTAAAACTAGAGCAAGTGTTCGGTAATAAAATTTGAGTACAGTATCTAACACAAAACTTGCAAAAGCGCGTTTGATTGTCAAAGTAGAACACATCAATTTGAATATAGTTCAACGAAAACAATGAAAATATCACCTTAGTTTTTGAACTTTTTCATGGAATTTTACAGTTGTACTTAAGTCCAAAATTTGAAAATTGTTCAAACCAAATGGGGGTTCTTCATAATACTAAAATTTTAAATACAAAAGAACTGAATAAGAATCTCAAACCAAAAAGACCAAGTTGCTTTTTCAGTTAATACATGTAATACAAACCCCATTCTCTAAAATCACAAAGAGAAAATACGTGTGAACAACAAAGATACGGCTTTACTAAATCGACTTTCTTATGAAAGCATTCAAAGTTGAAATCTTCAAACAAAGTGGATGGAATGAAGGAATAGTTGTAGAAAACAGCAATTTAAAGTCTGCACGCCACTAACTAATCTTCTAATGAATAAAAAAGTAACTAAAAGCTTGCCTTTCTCAAAACATACTTGCTTGCAACTTGTCGTGAGGTGTAAGTCATTTTCCTTCAATTAATAAATACAAACAAACACAACACAACTAGGCATTCTCAAAAGGCCCTGATTTTTGCATTTTTTTTAAAATCAATTTGTTGTTTATTTAAGTATTTTATTTTATCTTTGAAAAAGGAGAAGCTAAAAGATTAGGGCCAGGTAACAAGTAAGCTAAATGAAAGAGACAAATTTACCGTTCACTTCACCGATTCGAGTTTAGAATTTGAGTTTTGCTACAGTAAAATGCTCTCAGAAACAGTCACATCTAACTTTTTTGCTACAGTAAAAAGCTCTCACATAACATCACATCTTAACTTGAATTAAAAACTCGAATCAGCGAACTAAACGGGCCAAAGCATTAGGAATCACAAAAAAAAAAAAAAAAAAAAAAATCAGTTTGGTGGTGCATCAATTTTTAAGAAAGGCCAGACAAGAAAAAGAATAAGAAAAATTCTTTAATAGAAAGAAAAAACCTACTAATAGGCACAGCTCCGAACGGTTAAATTTTTATCAAGTTTGATAAAATTGCGATGTGATTCAATGGTTTAAAACTTCATCTCATTTGTGGGTCCTTTTTTTTCCCATAAACCCTACCATAGAAACAGCTAAATCCTCCAAAGAATAAAAATTAAAATAAAAGGTAAACAGAAGATCGTATCACGTTGCTAGATATAAAAAAATATTTATTGCGGACAAAAGAGAGAATATACAGCTAGCCAATCTTCTAGATTTGAAAATTTGTAAATAAATTGATTTGGGTTATGATATAGTAGCATGACATTCAGAAAATCAATACAATTAACGTTTTTTTAATGGAAATTTCTCTAGTGGCTGACATAAACAATTTTCTTGCTGGCGGGTTATGAATGGAATTGACATATTTAGGATTAAATATTAAAACACATTGGCAATGGTAATAATCTATTGACCAAAAATTGAACTTTATTGCCCGGGCTGATCTGTCAAACAAAAAATATTCACAGAAATTTATTAATCATCTCGTGGTTTGTTTAATTTATTCATAAGGGCCCGGGAAAGATCCAGAATTCACTTTTTTCAACGCAAATAGAAGAAAAAATATATGTAAATTCAAGAAAATGTCTGTAATCCACCGATGATTTCAATTCCAAAGATGAGTAAATTAGCATTATCAAAAAAACAATAATCAGGGTTTAAAGAGACCTTTGATTGGAAATTAAGCTAATAAATTTTTTTATTTTTTTATTTTTTATTTATTAAAACCTACCATTTCACCACATAAAAAAGGGTGAAGCCACCAAATTTTAGCAAGGATTACAGAAGGATCTTTCGTAAAGCTACCGACTTTACAACCTTTATTCTTTTTTTTTTTTTTTTTTAAAGTTTCTTCTCTCTTTCTTTTTTATTTTAAAATAAAAAAAGCACTTTCCAAGAAGTGACTTCTTGGGTTGAAATTCACCATGATAAATGCGAAACAAAACGCTAAAAATGAGAATGAAAACTGAAAATAGTTCCTAGACTTAGTACAAACCTTCTAAGCAAAATTTAACAAAAGAAAGCAACTTTTAAAGGTTTACAAATATGGTACCAGATCATTCTCAATAAGTTTGCTTAGCTTGGAGTTCAAGAATACATTAACAACAATTCCACACAAAGATAATAAACAAACAAATAATTAAAAGAAAAACCAAATATTTTTCAACTCTAAAAAAAGAACCCAAATTGCAATTCAACCCAGTAAACCCAAAACCACTTTCATCATCCAAAATCCAAAATATTACATAAAACATAAAGAAATAGAGACTTTCTGACCTGGGTATTTTGTAATCGATTTGTAACAACCGTTGAAGCCGTGCTGTGCTTGGGAAATCGCTTGTTTTCTATGTGGGTATTCTGACTTGAAGAAGAAGAGGAACAAGAGTCTGTGGGATCTAAAGAAATGATAGTGAAGCAATAAAGAAGGAGAATAAGGAGAAATATCACCAAGACCTGGACCCATATCAGCCATGGGATTCTGTAGCTTTCAACAGTCAGTTCATCTCCAAAATCAAACATTTCTTTTTTATTTTTCCTGGGACAACAAAAACGATTTATATTTCCCAGAAAAGAACAGAAATGATTGAGAAAAGATGGAGATAGAAAATGGGCAAAGAGAGAGGAGAGAGAAGGCAATGGGACGGTGGAATGGCCTTTAGGAGAAAGTGAGAGAGACGACTAATTTTATATATATATATATATATATATGTATATGTACAGTAGTTCTAGTGGGTTGACCCCGAAGAAAAATTGAAGTGAGGTTGAATTTCTTGAAAATCATCCAAAAAAGAAAGGATGTTTTGCATATTTACCCTCTGAATTTATAAGATCTTGATAAATTACCCTATAAATTTTAATTTTGATAATTTACGCCACAATTTGTAAAACAGTTAGAATGTGTCTCATTTTGGTTATGATTGTGTTAAATATTCACAAAAAATCACATTTTTGTCACATTTAATGAAAAAGATTCAACATCCCAATTCAAAATGTTACATAAATCTTCTCTATTCCTGACTTTTACTCCTATAAATATAACAAAAAATCGTGACAAAATTAGTAAAAAAGGGCGGTTTGACTATTTTGTAAGTTGAGTGAGCAAATTGTTAAAATATAAAATTTAAGAGTAAATTATCAAAATCCTTAAAATTTTGGGGAAATTTGCAAAATACCCAATTGTTTGAAAAAATGCTGTACTGCAATAGCCACGCGCGAACTAAGACGCGTACAGTGGACGATGACAATTTATAGAACTATGGGAGCTTGGTAAATGGGCAATTTATGGAGTGATGTACGGGGAAAATATTCCAGCTTTTCCCTTATCCCTTTGAAAAGAAAGCACGGGGAAAATAATGCGATAATGCATTTTCAATGATTAAAATGAGTATAAAAATGATTAAAATCAGTATAAACAGAAAAAAAACTTTAGTTAAAAGACCTTTTGAGTGGACCAGTAACACTTTTGTTGGGAGCTTTTTTCCGTCATAATCAGCTGAAAGATTATAATTTTTTTATATTAAATCGTAATAATTATTAAAAATTAAAAATTATTTTTAAATATATAATAATAAAATAATTATTGTATATATTTATTATGAATATTTATATAAATAATATTAAAAGATAATCAATGATTATTGTTTTTAATATAAGTAATAATAAAATTATATATAAATGAGTAGATAATTCTCATTGAATTTTATTAGGGGTGACAATTCGTGTCACATGTCGTGTTCGTGTCGTATTTTGATCATTTTTTTAAATTTACAGTCAACCCGAACACGACCCGTGACACGAAATTTTTTAAAAATAGCAACACGAACGCGACACGACCCGAAAATAACCCGTGACACGAAATTGACCCGTGAATCTGAAATTGACACGAAAATTGTATACTTTTATTTATTTTTTTACATATTAAAAATAACTTAACATTCATAACACACTAAATTACAATAACATCCATTGAAATTAAGCAAATAATAGTATAAGATTTTGAGTATAACTATCATGATATCACAAGTTCATAATAAAATTTAAAATATGAAATGAAAAATATATGTATTTTTTAGTTTTTTACGAGTTTCGTGTCGTGTTCGGGTTAGGCGGGTTCAACCCGAAATTAATTCGTGTTTTTCGTGTCAATTTCAGGTCGACCCAATTCTGACCCGAACTTCTTTTTTCTCAACCCTAACCCGCAAAATTTGTGTCGTTTTTCAGTCGTGTCGTCGTGTTGTGACCTATATTGCCGGCCCTAATTTTTTTCCCTCACGATCAGCCTAATTTTTAATAGACTATCTATTTTGAGAATTCCACTAGAATCACAAACTTGTACTATGGTTGACTGCATTTAAGTTGTAATTATTCATGACAAATGCGGATGATACAATAGTTTAAAAACGACTTTTGATTATCAAAATAATAATTGTTATTACTCAATATAAGAGAATTACACTAATATTTTCAGCCGGTTACGATAACACGTGGGGGATACGTTCAGTCATTTATAGAGTAGGGGACTACAATTAGGTCCTAATTAGAATACCAAAAGTGCAAATGTACCGTTTTTCATTGCATAAAAAATGATACCTTTTCTATTTCGTTGTAGTTGAATATATTTATAAATTGTTGCAATGTGTGCCTTATTTCAGTTAGCTTCCTGTTCAATTGGTGATGAAAGCCGACGTACGTCTCATGTGGGGACTGAAAATTCTATGTCCAACCAAAAATGTCAAAATTGAACTCAAACCCTAAAACAAAATTTTCAAATTCAAACCGTCAATTTAATAAGAAATTAACAAAATAGCACATATTGCAAAAAATTAGAAAATTTAAGGGGTAAATTATCAAATTTAAAAATTTAATGTTAAGTTGTCAAAGGCCAGAAAATTTTCGGAGCAACAATGGTTAAAGCCCTTTGTTGAAAACATAACGTGACAATGCTGCTAATTACTTGTAATACTGTAGTTGGCATTTTCTTTGTCATGATGATTCATTCAAGTAGTAATTGTATGGTATTAATTAGAATCATGCATGCATAAAATTATCATTCAAAGTCAAAGAGAACTCAAAATTCGTGACAGTATAATTATATGATAATAAGTAAATTTTCGCAAAGAGGGTTCCAAGTACTTTATACATCTTTGATTATAATTGAAATCTGTAAAGTTCACAATAATTGCCATATTGCAAGCGTGAAAACCGAAACGACAGAAAATAACTATATTGACGAATTACCAGTATGCATGGCCATCAGCCATAATTATAATGATCATATGCGTAAAGCTTTACCTATGTGGAGGTCACTTTCCAACGCTCGAATTTGTATTAGAGATTAATGATCAATTCGCAGAGTGGTAAATGCTTGATCCGTTTGTCTAAAATAATCTAGGGCACAAGCGATAAAGTAAAGTGCAAAAAAATAAAGAAGAGACACCAAAATTTATAATTGTTACCCTGATAATTCAGGATACGTCTACTATAGTGTTTATTATTTGCATTATATATGTAGAGAATAGTACAAAGAAACTTGTGTGTCTTGGAATGCTCTGGACGTTGAGGGAAGTCTTCTTTTTATAGCTGCAAACTCTTGTGTTCTCAATTAATGCTAGTTTCATTTTCTTGAATAAAGTTGACTTTTCTGATTGTGGTTTTGAATTTGTTTCCTTATTCTCCTCGTATCTTATATGATTTAGGTTGACCTATGTGCGATTTGGAGCCTCCTCAAAATCCCAAAACAGAAGGTTCTTCAGAAGATTTTCGAAATATTCTACGGAGTAGTCAACTCCTCTGCTCTATCAAGCAGTCGTAGTCGACTCCAGATGTTGAAGTCGTTCTGAGCTGATCTTTAATTTGGATCATCTTCTAATCTTCTTGAGCTGTTGAATCCTTTTGAGAGGTCCTCTTAGATGATAGTCTTCAAGTTTAATCGACTCAAGTTGACACGTGTACTGTTGAGATTGAGTGATAAAATCTGACCCCAACAACCTACTTTATGTGAGAAGATTGTTCTTTTTTTTTCTTTGATCTTTTTCTATATTGAATGATGATAATGATATTTTTTTTTATTTTGCGATTTTTTAATGGAGAACCGACAATGAAATCAAGAACTATTGGAACACACACCAAATGGGGATTGACCCGATGACTCACAAGCCGAAGACTAACGCCCTCGGCCTCGGCTCTGGCAACCCCAAAGACGCTGCCAACTTGAGCCACATGGCGCAATGGGAGAGCGCTCTGAAAGGTCTGTTATTTACAATATGTGTTACAGAGAGTTTTATAACACTTTTATGAAATACTAACAATTAACTGTAACAATTATGCTCAGATACATTAAAGAAATCAAACATGAAATAATGTAGGAAAAAAAAAGAAGACTAGAAAATACTATCATAGTTCGGTTAACTAACCTATATTCATAGAGTTATACTCAAATAATGAACAATCTACTAAGTCAAATTGATTATAATCACGACTCGCTCTTTATTATTATTACCGTTGTGATAATCTTTTTAGTGACGTTATC